AGCACTATCTTGTCAATATGAGGTTTCAAACACCAACGGCCCGTCTTCTGAATGCAGGCGAGGTGCTTCTTCAACAATAGAGGTTTGCATTGACCCATCCTTGCCTGCCGCTCAGGTTGGTAGCCATTTGCCAGCACATCAACAACGGGAAATCACGAGCATTCTTTCGAAGCACGCTGAAGTATTCGCTCGTGAAGAGGATGACTTAGGTCTGTACGAGGGTGTTGAACACTCAATCGACCTTCTTCCCGATGCTGTGCCATACAGTCGATCCCCTTACCGTTACTCTGCTGCAGACCGTCGTTTTCTTGAGGCTCAAATAAGCACACTCCTTCGGCAAGGCATCATTCTACCAGCCTTAGGACCTTGGGCATTCCCCGCAGTGGTTGTCAGCCGAGGTAGCAAGAAGCGCCTTTGTGTTAACTATGTGCCCCTAAACAAGATGACTGTGAACGTCGTGCAACCACTTCCACATGCGGATGACATCATGGATGACATTGCTGGGTCACAGTACTTCGCCTGCCTTGACCTAAAGTTTGCTTACTGGCAAGTTCGCGTTCGTAAGGAAGACCAGGCAAAAACTGCTTTTGTGACCCACTATGGCACCTTTATGTGGACCCGCATGCCATTTGGGCTGAAGAACGCACCTGCCACTTTCCAGCGAGCCATGCAGTCAATTTTTGCTAACCTGCAGCCCCATTGCCCAAAGTGCGGTGTGCGGGTGTACTTGGATGATGTTCTGGTTTTTGCGCCAACTTTTGACGAGTTTGCAAGGTTACTCGACGAAGTACTTGGTGCACTCCTTGCCAGTGGATTCAAAGTTTCACTTGACAAGTGTAAGTTTGCTTTGAAGTCTATCAGGTTTCTCGGATTCATTTTGAGCAGGGACGGCAAGCAGCCTGACCCTGCCAAAGTCGAAGCCATCATGAAAATCCCACAGCCTGCAAACAGCAAAGCAGTTTTGTCATGGCTCCAGACAGCAAACTTCTATCGCCGATTTGTGAAGAATTTCTCTCGGATAGCAGCACCGTTGCAGAGTCTCATACGGTCTGAGGAGTTTGCCTGGACCAGCGACTGCGATGAAGCCTTTCAGCGAATTCGCACAGCATTAACAGAGGCACCTGTACTGGGCCATTTTGATCCAGACGCCCAAACCACAGTCACAACAGATGCCTCAGGAACCGCAATTGGTGCTGTGCTCTCTCAGAAACAGTGTGGAAAAGAAACTGTGATCGAATATGCGAGTCGTGCACTCACGGCCGCAGAGAAGAAGTTGCATAGCAACGTTTGGGAGTGTATTGGTGTCCACTGGGCGGTTACGATCAAGTTCCGACACTACTTGCTCGGCAAGAAATTTTGCCTGTTGACTGACAACTGGACCGTTGCATGCTTAACAGCCAACATCAGGCCTTCACGTCGTTTTACGACCATGTTGATGGATCTTACAGAGTTCGACTTCACTGTGCAGCACCATCCAGGCCGTCAAAACGTGGTTGCTGACATGCTGTCACGATTATCTGCAGCAGTCCTCCATCAGACACAGTCTCTCGCAGCTATGCAAGCAGAAGACAAAGAGTGCCAGGACCTTCGTCGCTCTCTGTCATCTTCAGAATCGTGGGACCATGACCTTGCCATAATTGATGACATCCTGTACCATAGTGACGCGACTTCAGGTTCTCAAGCTATTGTAGTGCCAGCAAAGATGCGCCAGGCTGTCCTGGAGGTTGTTCATGACGGTGGAGGCCACATGGATGTAACCCGGACACTGACCAAAGTGAGAGAACGTTACTGGTGGCCAAACCTTACGTCTTCAGTGACCCACTACGTCACAGCATGCCAGATCTGCCAAAGCAACAACCGCCCAATATCTAAAAGTGTTGGCAAAATGGGTCTCATGCCAGTGTCGGATGTTCCTTTTGCCTTAATTGCCATTGATCACATCACAATGCCGGCTGCTTCAGGAAAGAAGTACATTTTGAATGTCATTGACTTTGCCACGCGTTTCATTGTCCCAGCGGCTGTAACTTCAACATCAGCTAAGGAAGTTATAGCACATTTACAGTCGGTGTTCTTCCGCTTTGGTTGTCCTGATGACTGCATGTCTGACCATGGAGCAGCCTTTGAATCTCACCAGTTTAAGCACTTCATGCACATGCACGGTGCTGAGATTCATTATTCAGTGGCATACCGCGCAGCCAGCAATGGTCTTGTAGAGAGAAGCAATGGGACTTTAGTCTCCGTTCTTCGTAAGCTGTGTCCAACGGACCAGACCTCCTGGGCAAGCAAACTCGAAGAAGCTGCTTTTGCCATCAACACAAGCTATAGCGCCAGCAGCTGTTTCTCTCCATTTGAACTACTGTATGGATACGTCCCCAAGCTCCCATATCAACGCCACCGTCCCGCCACAGCCAGGACCCTACAAGACCGTCTCCTAATGCTGTCTCAGAACCGGGCCGTAGCAGCAAGTAATACCGAGGAAGCACAAGGGAAACGGAAGACAGCATATGATCAGTCCCATCGAGACCACTCCTTCCAAGTCGGCCAGTTCGTCTGGGTGCGCCGCCAAGAGCCTGTAGCAGATGGAACTGGAAAGTTGGCACCCAAATTCAAGGGAATATACCAAATCACCAACCAGAAAACACCCGTTACGTTTGTCGTTAGCCGCGTAACTGGTCAAGGTCCTCGTGATCGACTCCAAGACAGGATAGTGCACGTCTCTCAACTCAAGCACTACGTGCCACCTTATGTCGAGCCTTACATTGTGAAAACCCAAGAGTGGCCTTTGTGTGACTTATCTGGCTCTCCCAGTGTTGGCAATGAGTTATCTCAACCACCAGTTTCCCTTGGCCCTGCAGTTTTGCCTCCAGCGGTACCCTCCTCGCGACCTCACCGCCAAAAGCGCCCACCCGAGCGCTTGAAGGACTATTCTCTCTCGCAGTGAAGCCACCAAGTAGTGCTCCTTTCCTAGACCAATGGGACTTGGTCAGACAAGGAGGGGCCGGATGTGAGCGCCCGCATGCGCACTATAGCGTAGCGGCCTATCTAATCGGCAGCGCCACCTGCGGCGCCTTTACTCAGATAAACTCCAAGCCCAAGCGAGGGCCGGGGACACGTTTTATCAATCTCGCTCCCGCCTCCGGCGCGGTCGGCACGTTTTCATGTTCGAATAAAGCGCATTCTTCTCGTTCACAACGCCTCTCAGCCTTCATGCCTAGCCCGCCCAGCCCTCACAACTGTACACACACAACACGAAACTACGTATGTGCACATGGTCCTCACGGCGTCTTGCTGGGCTCAACAGCGTCGTCCATTGTCACAAGCAGGAGCACTGCTCAACCGTCACTGACCTGCAAGGTGTTCGTCGTCATTCAGCTTCGTCATGGTGCCCAACGCTATTTCGCTGAACACCAACTGCTTCAACCGCGCCATCCGCCGCACGACACATGGATATGCACTTGTTCTACGCACTGCTGAAACCCCGTGATGGACAAAGGGATTTGTAAACGTTGCTAAGAGTAATGTAACAGCCAGGAGACCACTGCGTAACCAACAACGCGGCGGAGAGCGCAGATTTTATCCACCAAGGCTCAGCACGAGACCTGGGGAAGCACACATTCCGTCGCCAGCCGCGGCCGCTCACTGCTAGACCAGCTCCACTGAGCAACACGTAACCATAGCAACGCCGCCATTGTGCCTAGTGAATATGGCCGCCATGATGTCATTTCCACCACATTTTTTTTTTTTTTTTTTTACGCCCGGCGCCGGCTGTGCATGCCATCTCCTTACCTTTCCTTCGATTCGCTCGCAGGATTTCAAGCTGGACGGTTGTGCCCTCGCGATCTCCGACATCAGCGTAGCTCCCGCTGACTGGTTCGCCCTCCGCGGTCTCCTGACGCCGTGCAGCTCTCGCATTGTGGCACCCCGCCCTTGGACTGCTTCGACCGGATCCCCACTTTCCTATCTCCTTCTTTTTTCTCTCGCTTGGCTGTCTTCTTCTCCGTCTATTTTCCTTCTATTCTTTTTATCCCTCCTTCCCCCCACCCCTATAAGGCACTGCGCCGTGTCGCCTGAAGGCAGACAGAAATTAGGTGCCTTTTTCCTCTTCATTCTAACCACTACCACCACCACCTTTCCTTCCTCCGTGGATTTCGCTGAAGGTGTCCCGCTGGCTCAGGGTGATGAGCCCAGTTCCATTAGTTTCGGATCGTCACGACACACGCGCTGCGCAGCCCACGTGCTTTCCGAGCCGGAGAGGGAGTCGCGCCTTCTGCTTCGCATTCATATGTAAACAAGAGAGGAGAATTTGTCTAGTCAATATGGCCGACTTCTGGCTTCATCGCGGCTTCACAACAAGTGACGTCATGGCCTCTCGTTACCTTTTTTTCCTCTGTGTACGCCACTGTACCAGAAGTCCAAAACCTTTTTTATAGTTTCTTGTTATATCGCTACCGACAGCAGCGTCATTTTTGTTGAAGCGGGTCATAAAAGTGATTTTACAAAGTACAATAGTCACAAGAGCAGCAACTCGTTTCAATCTGCGGCAAATTTTTAATGCAGTATTTAAGAATGTTAGTGTATAGTTGCAGTTGTATTTCTTATTGACGAAATTAAAGAAACAAAACAAATTGTGCAAAACGGGAGCCGAAGTACCGAAGTTGGGCCGAGGAAATCCGTAGCCTCATCCACCAGTGCATTGTTTACATCTGCCGTGCACACGTGCGTAGCAGCTGTAAGCGCATATATAGAGTGATTTACAGCGTAACGCCGTAGTCTCTGTTCGCTGTTACGGACAGAAATGCTGGCATGAGTATCTAGAAGAAGCGCACGAGTGAGTGATGATATGTCGATTTGTCTTTCGTTGTGGGTCTTCGTGTCCGTTTGCTGAATGATGATGAATCAACATATATTGGGCTCAACATTGTTGGTAGTGCGCGCAGGCACCAGACGGGGTGGTGCCCTAGTTGCGAAACCCGTATCTATTCAGAAACTTCTGGCCCCTGTCCGCCAGTGCACGCCGAGTTGGTAGGGCGGGGCTGGATAACGTCTCCCATCGCTCAGTGGAATGAGCTTTTGCGAGATTCGCCCCATGTCATCGCAACTAACAGCCTGCCAGTAGCCTTACGATGGTCGTGTGTGCGTCCTGTGGCGGCGAAGACTTCGACGAAGTTTCGGGCCTGTACTACTGCACCGAGTGCAACACCCAGAGCCAAGAAGTGCGCGTCGAACAAGTGGACGATGAAGGTGCCGCGCCACCTCCACACGTCGGCCGGGCTTCTCCGCGGCGCAAGGAGACGGGCAACAGCACGCCACGGGAAAGGAAGCACCCCTACCCGACGAACGAACTGTTTAACGTGATCCTCGTGCGTCAAGTGGACGCGCTCGTATTGCTCGGCGCTTCAGCCGAGCTTCGTGGCGTCGTGTGTCGGCTGTGGATGGACTACCTGGTAAAGCTCGAGGCTGTGAGTCGCGTTGAGGACGACGAGTGGACACCACGCATTGGCGTCGTAAACCGCTGGAGCGACTTGCGAACCGTCGAAGAACTCATTGGGGCCTCCGAAACGAGCGAACGCAAGCGAAAGAAACTCCAGAAAGCGCTGTTCGGGTCGGGCGTAACGACGCGACTCACGTCGCGGTCGTCCCGCTATCGCAAGCGGCTTAAGAACCGATGCGACGTCACTAGAACGCCTAATCTCGACTCGGACTGCGAGTTCGAAGATGAACTCCTTGCCACGGCTTCGGAAGGGGAACAGGCCTCTGAAGACGACGTGGAGGACTTCAGATCGACCGCCGCCAAGGAATACCTAGAGCGCGTGCTAAGACGCTGGAGTCGACTTGCATGACAAAAAAATCGGCCGGGAAACTGAAGTCACCGTGGTGACGCTCCAACGGCTCTTGTGCCTCCTCTACCTAGGCGTGTTGATCACGGGAGACCCAATCTTACTGACCGATATACTGAGGTGGGCTCGAGACGGCCACCTGCCGTACCTACATGTCTTAAAGCTCCTTCCCGAGGACGCCAAGTTGTGGGGCCAACAGTGGCGGACTTTCGTGCGACTGACGATGCCAACAATTGACGAGCTAGCAACGCAGGCGGCCCACTTGGCTCACTTTCTTGGCATGCGCAGCGAACTGAGACAGCCGCCACTTTTGCCTATCGTCATGCGCCTGGTGGCGGACCTCAACCTACCTCTGGAGTTTGTGAACGTGTGCGAGGAAGTTCTCTGCACTCATCCCAAGATGGTACCCAGCTGGGAAGTGCCCCCCAACAGAGCAGCAGGCTCTGTGCCCCTTTTCTCACCTGTATGTGAAGTCAGGGCAGCAGCTGTCCTGCTTCTGGCCCTCAAGCTTACGCTTGGGCTGAACGGAAGCAGGGAAGTACAGTTGTCTCGAGCCGTTGAAGAACTGACTAGCCGTCATCCCGGAGCGAACCTGTTTGTGTGGTCTCGCTGGGAGAAACACTTGCGCGCCAGGCTTCTTTTGCTGCGCTTCAAGCTGCTACGGCTTCGAGCCTGAGGACCTCGATGACATAAGAGACGTGGGCGTCCTCTTTCGACATCCTGACAGTGCTCCTGTCGACCGCAGCATGGTGACAAAGGCACTGAGAGAGGGCATGAAAAAGTCATTTTGGGAGATGCATAGGAGGGAACTCTTCTTTCGGCAGGTGCCCGCCACCAGCTTTGCAGTCACGCCAGCCGTACGTTTTCTCTGTGAAAGGACGCCAGTTTCCTCAGGCTTGAGGGCAGTGCTGGAAGAATCTTTTCTTGACAAGGACGTGACGTATCTCACGCGTGCCACTCACGGCATTGCATCTGTTGGAGGGTGGGCCGAGTTGTGCCAAAGTGTGCCTGAGTTTATAGCCATTCTTGGAGAGGGATGTGACCAGTACTGGACGGTCGCCTTGAAGAGAGTGTACGACTTGAAGTATTCTAATGTGGTGCAGCACTCACTCCCTAAAACTTTCCTATTTCTATTGGAGTTTATGGCAGCCATCACGCATTGCCACCCGAAAGAACTATACAGGGACCTATTGCGGATTGAAGCAGTGTTTCTTCGGTAACTTTATGTGCATAGTGTGCTTCACATTCTCACCGAACCCATTTCAAGATCACTTGTCCTTTGCAAACCTTATAAACTGTTATTCCACTTTGCAGCGTATATTTATATGATTGTTGAACTGTGTGGGTTTATGGGTGGTGGGGTTAGTGCATGATATGAATTCATCTCTGGTCATTCTTTTGTGTATGAGTCTGCAGTGCAGTGAAATGTCTCGGTACTTTTAAAGAATTGACTACAATATGAGCAGCACAATGATACGCCTGTGCTACTTTCATCACAGAGGCTGTAAAATAAAAAATGATAATTGTGCAATGATGTTGCTTGACGTGAAATGTCCTTTCTGTGCTGAAAATAGGATCATGCCCGATGTGTTGTGTGTATCCCCAGTGGTAGAAGTGCTGCGCCATCCTGTGCCTATACATTAATTATCATTTGTCACTAAATCTGCTATATTATATTTTTTTATCAGTACTCATACTAATACTGTCACATAACTTGTTTGAGTGTGAAGAATATTACTACCTTAGAATACAAGGAACAAGCATGGGTACCCATTTTCACCCATTATGCAAACACACTCATGGCAATTCTAGAAACATACCTGTACCGTTGCGCAGAAAAACCTCCCATGTACCTTGGGTACATTGGTGACATATCTTTAATATTGTTACACTGGTGGCCTGCACAGGGGACACCATAGCTTGTACTGCGGCGAATAGTATACAAGGTGTCAAGACGTAAGTTGTCCATGTCGCCCACTTGAAATTGTTTATGCCGAGACACCTAGACTGAGTCGTCCTGGTGGCCTTCTTCTGTGAGCAGAGGAACGTTGCTCATATGAACGAAGCAAGCTAAGACCGGTGCACGTGCTTGCTGTTCGGAGGCAGCTAGGAAGAAGACGACGACCCACAGACATACAACCTGTTGGCCGCTTCGGCGCTCACCTTCGTGACCTAATAAATGTCCTCTCAGTCGTATACATCTTGGCCTTTGTGTGTAACAATGTCGGGTGACATCTGAGACATTCTAGCTAAATTTACATCATTTCTAAACTACTTTCATCCAACAATAATGTTAACATTGGAGACCTCTGCTGAGCACATCAACTTTCTTAAAACAACCATATATTTTGCGAACGACAACACTGTATATAAAACAAAAACATTTGGCTAGGAACAATAGATTATACAAGCCACCACTTGAGATAGTCTAAATGGGACATTTTTAACAGTCGGGCAACAATGTTGCACAGCATACGCATAAAAAACTAGAATGACACAAACGGACTTGCTTAATCAAACAGGAGTCGTCCTAACATGTTCTATAATAAGGCTTGTATAAATGAATGCACTAAAACTAGGCCACACTGAGATTGACACCACGCCCTAAAACTACAATAGCAATAACGCTTCTCACTACAAAACCTTCAAACACACTTCCAAAAATAAACAACCTCACAAAGTGCTATCCGCTTTTAATAAACAACCAACCAAAAACTGAAAAAAATCTTCCCAAAACCACCTAAGGTCTCCCATGGATGCAACAACGATTTCAAAGACATGCTGGCTAATGCAAAACTCAAAACAAGAGCTATGCTAGTTTCTGGTCCCTAGACCTGCTCCAGATGCCCTGCATGCAAACGTACACAGCCAGCCATCATCATAAAAAGCGTAACACAGGAATACTTTCACAAGTAACATTGAACTTCACCTGCAACACAAAGAACCTAATATGCCTAAATGCCTCGAAAAAACCACTTGTAAAACATAATACATTGGCAAATTTCGATAACCAGCTTATATCAAACTGAATGGCCGCTGCGCATATCCAAAGCTATATTTACCAAAAGCAGTAGCCAGCCGCTTCAAACAGCAGAGCCCAACACTCACATGAGATTCCTGAAAGTCGTTGCGACATTGCTTCAAATGGAGCAAGGGCTACACTTTTTATAGTTTTTTTATTTCCAGACAGTGATTACTAACAGTGACGTGCACCACTGCAGGCCATGACGTCAACACTAACTAGCCTGTTTCCGAGTATAACAAGGCACCTTTGACAAAAATAAGTCGTCCTATCGAAATGTCGGTCAGCCTGTCTAAGGTACTTTCTGCTGTTCTGCTTATCCCATGTTTGTAATTTAACAACTTTTTCTCTGTTGCATAACATGAAAGCCAGCTAACAATGAGTTGGATTGGCCTTCTCTTTGTGGCACAGCTAGGAACGAACGACATAGAAATAAATGACCTGCTTCCTTTAGTGATGCTTCCTGACCACTGATGTACACTGCCAACTGTAGTTCTCACTCACAAGTGAGTTCGTGCACCACATTATGTGTCGGCTCAATGATCTAGGGAGATTTTTTCTACAGCAGTAATGCACAGTGGCACATGTGAAGCTCTAGCTTCATGAAGTCTGAGAAGTCAAACATTGATTTAAAAATGACAGTGCAAAGGCAACCTATTGGTTTCACAACCACAAAATTTGCAACCTAACTTGTGCCCCAAAACAGCCTTCATTGCTTCTATCAGTGCTGCTTCAGAAAGGCCTTACGTATTGCCCTTTTGCACATTGTCATTAGCATTTTTTAGGTATGGTACTCACGGATTGCAGTTTGATTATTCATGGTTAAGTAATGCACGTACTTTCATTCCGTCATGCTGAGTTCGTCTGACATTGCCACAAATGAACTCAGAGACTTAAATTTCAGCTTCCTGATGCATAATGTCGTGAAGCGATTGTATCAAGTTAAAAAGCTTAGTAACCATTATATAGAAAGTATATATGTAATTTTTGGACATGTTGGTAAACAAAACTCACGACATATTGAGTGCTAACAGACAGTGAAGTGAGACACGACAACACAATGCGCATTGTGTTGTCTCTCTCACATCCCTGTCTGCTAGCGCTCAATACGTCATCGAGCATTTAAGCCATGCTTCAATAATGAGCACATTGCACCTTGACTTGCAGCGTAATTACGTCTTTTGTCAGATCATGTTAAGTTAAAACCAGTACAGATTTAAATATGTCTTTGAAAATAGAAAAGTAACTTAGAAATTGTAAAAAATGCAATCTTGTGGCCCTGGCACAGTGCAAATCTGCAGATTATATGAGTCTCGTAATTTTCTGCTTATGTTGGGAAGGTGTAATGAAGCTTCATCACGACACCATCCATAGGTGTATCAGCCGGGAGGGCAAGGGTGGTGCTAGCCCCCCCACTGGGAAAAGTGGGGGGGCTGAGCCCCCCACACTTTCGACTGTGTTACTCTTGACTGCACGCTAAGGAAAGCAACAAGTAAGGAACTTCGAAGTTTTTTGTCACAACAGTAATCCCTCAATAATGTTCTTACGAGAGAATGAAAATGTTATGAGGCAATGTTTCAGTCATATATTGTAAAATTTTGCCAACATTTATACTGTGATAATTTTTCTAGTAGGATATATTTGCGGTGTGGGTCGCCTAGGCGACGCTTTCCAGTCTTGTGCTGTAATATTCCAAAGCGTGCTATCACTGAACAGGGGCCTTATGATATTACTTCACTTGTTCATGCTTTTATTCTGCTGTAACTTGCTGACGCAGTTACGGATGAGCACGAGCAAAGTTTTTAAAGACCTGTAAAAACATTTGCTGCTTGCGGAAAATAATTTTCTTCGATAAGGATATATCATTGTTGCTTTGTCCGAAGCTGTTGCGAGCCAATGAGGAATGACGGATCGTTTTTGATTTTTAAGTTTTTCTATACTGAAAAGCTAAAAATTGTTCCTGCTTTAGTCTCTGATAAACCTGATCAGCCTTGCTTAAGGTAACTTGGAGCCACAGCTGGCAGCTTTACAAAGTAGCCAAGAATAAAGCAGTGGACTCGAGCTGAGTATAGGAAGCTCAGCTTTAAAGCTTGCCCCACGACTTGACCAACCAAACAAGGGAGAAGGTGAGAGACTCTGGTTTTTAGCCCTATGGAGGATTAGTTGAGAGTCAGGCTAGTTGGTTTTCGCCCAACTTGAATTGTATTGTACAGCTTAAAATACATATCGGACAGCAAAAAAGCACACAGGTGCACCACTGCTTATTTCTCTATTCCAATCTCTCTCTCGGCAAGTATGAGCTCACAGAGATGTATAGGCACATAAACTACAAAACACCATTATGCTTCAAGTAGAAATATTTTGTTATACTCCTAATCCATCTTGCCACCTGCTACAAATATCAGCTACTTATGTGATTGGCCGCTAGCCTACTTGAATTGCATTTAGACGGAGATGCTCTCCAGCTTCGTTACGTCATTTAACAAGCAGGCGATTTAGTGGCACAGAGAAAATTTTAAATGCTGAAGAACCAATTGCAAACAATATACCGTATCATAAATAGTTTATTTTCTTATTCTTTACGTGGTCTTGCATAAGTGGTCATTACACAATGCCTCATTTTCACGTCGATTGTTGCCAAGCATAACAAGCCAGTGCTGTGTGTATGACAAAGACTGTTTACACTAACGGCCATCTAGAAGTGAAGCAACGAGGGTATTTTAACGTTAAAACTGCCCACATTTTGTTCATTCAAAGAAAAACTTCATTTACCCCGTTTGTATTGGCATATTTATGCAGGTGCCTGGGGGCCCCTTCAGAAATGTTAATACAAATACAATGAGTGTAAACAATGTAGTATGCCCCTAACGCTACAAATTATGCATTTTTATATAGAAAGATTGAGAAGTTGGTAATATTTTTATTTATTTATTTATTTATAATACCCTCAGGGCCAACAAGGCATTAAAGAGGGGAGTGGGTAAATACATAAAAAATACAAATAAAACAGTGCAATAAATACAAATAAACAATACAATATTTACAAATAAAACAATACAATAAAATAAGATAATATTAACATTTCTGCAGAATGTATAAAAAATAGTCATTTCTAAATATACAAAAACAGAAGCAATAAGCATAGGTAACAGATTTTCTGGGTATACAATGTTAGCTAATGTTTCGTGGAAAAGTTTGGAGTCAGTAATGGTTGCGACATTTGAGGGAAGGCGGTTCCAATCATGAGATAAGCGGGGATAAATGACTGAAAGAAAGACCTAGTGTGACATGATGCAATTCCTACCTTATTGCGATGATCAACACGGTTTGAGATGTACAGAGGCTGGAGTATCAGGTCATTATGAAGTGTAGGGTGATAGAAAATTTTATGAAAGAGTGAAAGACGGGCGATTTTTCGTCGGTGAGCCAATGGAATAAGTGATAAATTATTTTTGATTGAAGTCATACTTGCAGTGCGGTTGTAGTTAGAGAGGATGAACCTAGCAGAGTTATTTTGTACTAGTTCAAGAGAGGTGATGAGATTAGCATGACTGGGATCCCATATGGCGGATGCATATTCGAGTTTGGGGCGTATGAGAGACTTATAGAGTACTAGTTTCAAGGAAGAGGGTGCTTTGGTACTGGTTTCAAGGAAGAGGGTGATAAGTCAATAACAGTAATATAACAATAGCAATACACTCATTGATTGCATGCTCCAGAAACAGTATAACTGAATATACGATTCGATGCTTCAGAAACAGTGTTCAGACTATTAGCAACAAGGCAAATTATAATACACACAAGCCTTAATATATGCAAGAAAGTGTAATACATGTTATGAAAAAATATAACAGCAATCATTCGTTGAAAAAAACATGGTTGATCTCTCCGTCACCGGAATCGGCCTATAACACTAAAGTAAAACCCACCTTTACAGCCTGGGTAGTGAAATATTTACTGTATATTGCCGAATGTATTTTTTGGTGATTGGCAGCTATATGCCCGTTCAATGTGGATGTATCCTTGCACCTCCATCCTCATGACTAACATCCACGTAAAAATTTGTCAGACAAACAATTGTGGTATCTGTAGATGTTAACCGCCTTAATCAAAGTGAAAGGCGTGATAGCAAGATATGAGCATCCCATATTGAACACAAAAATTTGGCTAAAGG